GGAGAGGACAAGGCACCGGCCACCCTGGGGCGGGAAGCTGGTGTGCTTGACTGGGCCTCGCATTGTCTCCCAGTCAGTGAACATCAGTTTGCTCGTCTGGAACGGAACCCTGGAACGCTAAGAAACGGGGACGACCGGTCAGCAGAGGGTTCTAGAAAGATGTGGGTGAGCGATGCCAGGGACCTGGGCTGACGCCGGGGTTGGGGGAGCCGAGAGGCCACATTGCGTGTCCCTGCCTGGGGGACCGTCAGTGCCCTTGGCCCTTGTTGCGTGTGGTCACGAGGGGCAGGGGCCGGGGGTTGGTTGGATGCCTCCTTGGTCCCTTCACTTAGTCTTTCTGCACTGGGTGTTGGTGTGTGGCCACAGCCTGGTGGCCATCTCTGAATGATCGAGAGGCCAGGCAAAGAGGGGGACACACTGTATTCAGCTGTGTTCCACAGCCAGCTCCAGCACAGAAATGCCCAGCACGTGGTCTGCACTGCTCGTGGAGCCAGTGGTCAGGAACAGGAGCCCCGCTGGTCCAGTGCTACTCCTGCCCTGGATTTCCCCAGAATTGTGTGTGCCGTTTCCTTTCACTCGTTTTTCACCCTGTTTCTGTTCTTAGAGGAGACAGACTCTGCTAACTCAGCCAGTGATGTGCATAGATAGATTATGGGAAGCTACAACATTTTCTCTAAGCTACACTGTTTAACAAAACAATTTAAACATCTGTAACTATTAAGTTAAATAATACCATTATTATAGTTTTCACAATTTAACCTGTTACTTTGTGTCTTTTGGACAACCATTCCCATCTCTATAAAGATTGCTCACCTGTGACCTCAGTCCCATCGCATTCCTGTTGCCATCTCTAGAGTATGTGGCCTCAGTTTGCTCTCCTAAGCAAACAGGCTTATTTATGACCTCATTTGTTACAATATTGCAGATTGTGTAGTTACAGAAGTTACAAGCACCCATTAAACTTTAACAGATGAGAAAGAGAAACAAACCAAAGCAAAAGAACAGGGTTAAGGTAGTCCTATTACACTGGGGCATGCCCCGCAGGCTGCCCCAGGTGATTGGCTTCCAAGGAGGGGGCTTGAACACGGGGATAGGACATGCTGACCTTCAGGAGCAAGGAGGAGCCACTCACTTAGTGAGGGAGAGAAGGCGGCTCAGAGGGCAGGGAGCTCCTCCGGAGGAGGTGCTTGAGTCTGGGTATAAGGAAGAGCATTTCGGGACAAGGGATGCCAGGAGAGAGCACGCAGGGCTGTGGGAGCCCACGTGCCACGTGGGGCGACCAGAGCAGGAAGTTTTGTTGGGGTGATGTCTGGCAAGAACGACTGTGCCCACACTCAGGTCTGTCCAGCAGGCAGCATCTCAGAAACTTCTGGAGATCTTTGAAGATCCCACTGCCATGTTCTGTCCACCGCTGGGTCAGTACCACATGCCTTGGGTGTGGCCACAGCTGAGTCTCACAGCTGAGGACCTAGAGCCTCTGTAATGGCTTTTGTCTGGGGCGGGAGGGGTGGGGTGCAGGCGGATTTGGACCTAGTGAGAAGGCTCGCTCTGGTGTGGAGACCGGGCCAGGGAGGGAAGGGGGGGCATGAAAGAGGTGGCAGCAGAGGGGGTACAGCTTTGCGATAGTTACAGGGGGTGATGGAGGAGGGACAAGTCACAGCGAGCACGTGGGGCACCCAAGCTGTTGTGGAGGCAGAGGCCGTCAGGAGCGCACTCCCGGTGAGCTGCTGGGAGGCGAGCGGAGCTCAGAGAGCAGCCGGGCGGGGCATCCTCATGCAGGCAGCCAGGTCATTCGCTCACATGCACTCATCTGGGGACGGGTGGCATGTTCTGAAGTGCAGGGCTGTGGTAGGACCTGGCCGAACCCCACCAGCTCACCATGGCCTGGCTCGGCCAGCCAGCGATGAAGGCCAGGGAGCTGTGGACGGAATTTGCTTTGCTGGAGGCTGATGGGGAGACAGTGTGAGAAAGGAGCGAACCAGCGAGGGCTCTGTCTCCAGGCCAGCCTTCTCCGGAGAAGGCCAGCAGGTGAGGACTCAAACCTTCTGCGGAGGGGCTGGTGGGAGCAGGACCCGGCGGTGCTGGGAAGGACGTGGGGACAGCAGGAGCCGGAGTGTGGAGAAGGAGCACTGAGATACTTGGGGGCTGGGGAGGGGTTCCGGAAAGCTGGAGGCTGAAGCCAGGATCCCGAGAGGAGGAAGTGGGGCGAGGGACAGGAAGGATGGGGGAGGCGTGCGGGATGGGCCCTGGCAGGCCTGTTGGTCAGGGCCGGTCATCAGCTGAGCAGTGGAGCAGGAGCTTGGCCGGTGGGGAAAAGCATGGGGACAGCTTCCAGCCCTGAGGGAAGGGAACCTCCTGGGGTCTCTGTCCTGTCCTTACCGGGAAGATGCAGGCAACAGTAGGCTGGTCAGTCACGGTCTACCTCCGTGCATTTTACCTTCTTTATATCTGTTCCTCCCTTTCTAATTTCTAATCCCCCTTTTTAAAATTTTTATTAATTTAAAAAAAAAAAAAAAAAAAAGCAGCTCTTTCTTGCCCCTGTACACGCAGACGGGGTAACAGGAAAGCACGGTTAGACCTGGGGAGGGCTGTGTCTGCCCGCGGCCTGAGCGCGAGACTGGCTGCCGCTTGCTCAGTGCAGTTTAGGAAGTGGGACCGGTGCAGGAAGCACGCGACCCTCCCTCGGAGCAAGGCGGCGCACACTAGCGGCTGCGACAAGGTGCGGCCTGCGGGGCTGGCGGGGGTGGGGGGGGGCGGGCTAAAAAAATGTCCGGCGGGTGCCGTGGCGCCTCTGCGAGTCCGGGCGGTGGAACGGTAGCCCCGGCCCTGGTGCTTTTCAGGGAGAAGAGCCGTTTTCAAACTGTTCATAGAAAATACACATTTTGAAAAAAACTACATATTTTGCAGCACAACAAACTCATACCTTTAATCCATCTTTTCCGTGAATTTTCTGACATCCCATCCGAGAGCAGGCTGTTGGCACTTACTGCTTGCCGGACTTGCCAGGGACGTGGACAGGCTGGGGAAGAGGGAACGGGGACAGCGCTCGGTCTCTGGCTCGTGGTTGGGACAGGGGAGGCAGGAACGGAGTGTCAGGGTGAAAGCCGGGGGCTCTGCTGTGAGTGCTGCCTCGGAGAGGAGACCGAGGCCCTCACCAGCTGGAGGCTCTCTCTGCCCACCCGCCCAGCCCTGCCCACCGTCGTCCGTCCTTCACGGCTCTCTTCGTCCGTTCAACTGATCACCTCCGTCTCTATCCCGCGTCACCCCGAGAGCAGGGGCTCTGTCTCTCTTACCCCTGAAGCCCCCGTCCCTAGTGCCTGGGACATGGCCCGAGCTCTGGGAGTACTGAGTGGGGGCGGATGACTGGATGAAAGCTGCTGGACAGTCCTGTAGGCCGTGGAAGCCGGTGTAGCCACGCTTTGTCTAAACTGCGCATCCGATCGTGGCGAAACCCGGGACCTTTGGGGCCATGTTGCCCAAGGAAACAAACCACCAGGCGCTTCAATGCAGCTGGGCGTTCTGGGACTCGAGCTTTCCGGCCGCGGGTCAGCCGTTCCTCACCGGTGTCAGGAGACTCTTCCGTTCTTCACGACGGCTCAGGACCTCCGAATGCTCTTGTCCCGTGCAGTCTGTCTATGGTAGTTACTGTACTAGCAGTTAGAACCGAGACATTTAAAAGGTGTTACTGGAGAAACAGTGTGTTTACTGTGTTTCCAGGTGGGCTTCGAGATTTCAGGATTTCCAAGTGCGAGTGTTTTGGATGGTAATGAGGTCACAGAAATGGCCGGGGTACCCAAATGTCACCAGCGAAGAGCCCAGTAGAGGTGCTGTGAAGAATTCAAATTAATCTCTGGGAACCTACCCCTGCCTCATACACTTCCCAAACTGAGACCTTAGAAATCGGGGCCTGCTGGTTAGAAATCGGGGCTGGCCCTGTGGCCAGCCAGGCCCTGCCTGGCCAGCTGCGCAGTTCGAGTCCTGGATCCAGTGGCTTATAAAGCACGCCAGGCACATGTGAATGCGTGCCCAGAATCCTGAGAGGAAGAAGAAGTGGAGGAAAAGGGATTGTGGTGTAACCAATCCCATGAGGAAACTTTCTTCTGTGTGTGTGTGTCTGTCTCCCTGGTGAGTGTGCACAGCCTTTAGCAAAAACAGAGAAAAGATAAAAAAAAAATGTTAGAAAACACAGGCAAGCACATGCCCACTAGTGGTCAGGGAGGGCAGGCCACATCCTTGTAGCTTCTGGAAAACTGCGTGTACATATGTGTGAGAGTCAGAGCAAAAAGGCAAAGAGCGCCTCGATACGAATATGAAACTAGTTTCAGTGTGAATGTGACTACTGGGCCGTCAGGGAAGTCCGGACGCACTTTTTAGGTTTTTCTATGGAAAAAGGCAGCATGACTTTTCAGATGACCCAATAGTTTTGGCACTCAAATGAAAATAGCTCGGGCATAATATGAAACTAGTGTGAGTGTTAATTCGAAAATAGCTCTGGCCTCACCGGTGCCCTGGAAGTGTCCTCAGGTCTACCTGGTGAGCACCCCTGCAGTCACAGGGTCTCCAGTCACAGCTGGCCCAGAAACCTGGGGAGGCCGACTCCAGCCTCGTGTCTGCTGCCCTGGGACTGAATGGCTGGGTGTGATTCCCTTTGGGCCCTGAGGCTTTACCAAGCTGGTGACAATGAGCATGTGCAATTCTTCTGATTGGAAAGCGATGAACAAACCAAATGGTGAAAAGGGAAGAAATCCTGCTGTATTTGTGGTTTTCTACATTTTTCTAAAATTCTTGCTAAAAATCTAACATAAGTACTTTCAGAGTTTTATAACAATCTCTAATTAAGATTATTATTATTTTTTTTAGAGGTTTTTGCTATAGGGCACGTGTGCTTGCCAGACAGACAGAGAGAGACAGAGAGAGAGAAAGCGAGAAATCACCCCCTGGGGGCATGGCCACACTGCAATCCCTTCTCCTCCATTCTCCTCCCAGGATCTTGGGCACGCACGCACACACACCCAGCGTGAGTTTAAGCCACCGGGTCTGGGACTCAAACCGCGGTCGACTACATGGGAGTCCAGCGACATAGCCATTACGCTAACTGCTGGTCCCAAGATTATTGTTCTTATATTCATTACATTGCTATTATGGTATACTTTATATACAATAAACTGAAACTGCATGTATCCAAATGACCCAACTGGATGAACTTTATCAGGTGTCTACATCCGTGACTCCATTACAAGGTATCAAACACCCCAAGATGACAAGCTCCCCTGTGCCGTTTTGTAATTCATCACTCCCTCCTCTCACCCTCTGTCACCCTAGGCTCCTTTGGATGCTGTAGGACTTCATATAAACCGGAGCCTATGAGGCATGATCTTTTTTCACTCCGGCTTTATTCACTAAGTGTAATGACTGTGAGATCCCTTCGTGTCGTCACTCTGTCAACGGTTCATTCCTTTCCTTGCTGAGTAGGGTTCCCATGTTCGGCTTTACCACAGCTAGTGTAACCCTTCGTCTGCTGTGGTTTCCAGTTCTGGGCCATTGCAAATAAGCCGAACAAGGGGACGTTGAAAAGTCTACGTTCCACGAAACTACAGTACAGGTGTACTCGGCTGCAGGCCGCTTGGAGAGTCACACAGCTTTTCCATGGCCTCCATTTTTAGGGACTTTTTGGAGACCCCTTTTATGTGTTGTGCAGCTCTTCTGGCAGACACGTATCTTCACTTCTCTTGGGTAAAGTCCTAGAACTAGAGCAGCTTCGCCCTCTGGTAACTGTATACCCAGTTGCCCAACCGCCTTCCAAAGCGTTGTGCCCTTTCGCATTCCTGCCAGTCCCCTTCCGCATCCCTGCCAGCAGCGGGTGGATGTGGGGGTTACGCCCGCACCCACGGGTAGGGTCGGCCATCCTCACAGTGTTCTAATGGTTTCTACCACACAGACTCTGCAGTCGATTTCATGACACCACTTCAGGAAGAATCTTTTACAAGAAACTTTTGGCCTGCATAGGAGTTAATGGCCCGCCCCCCGTCTCTCCAATTCTGGTTCCAAAGGATCAGCTGTTAAGTGAACATTTTCACACAGAGAAACAGCCACCGCCAGAGCTTTCTGAGAGGTAAAAGGAAACAAAATGAAAGCCCACGATAAAACCGCAGTGCCCATCGCGGAATGGGCATTTAGTAAATATTTGTTGACTAAATGAGTATTTTAATATTTTATCATTTAAGTAAGAAAGATGGCGTTCAATAAATACAGTGATCAGAGTCAGGAAATTTCAGGGCAGTAAGACAGCTTAGGAATGGCTGAATCTACCTGTGAGTTTTAGGAGGGAAGGCACCCCGTCTGAGAGCTGTGGGGACTTGCCCAGGGTATTCACAAACATCGTGGTTGGCCTGGATTAAGGGTCCAAGACTCTCGAGAAACTACCTGCAGCTGACTGCGACGTACTTGCATTCATGTGAGTTCGTTTCTAGAACGGAGATTCCTTACCACCATTTACCATGTGTTACAAACATGCCCATTAAACCGACAGCATCTTCTAATGTGAGTGATAGAGTTATTAACATGCTTGCAAAATTGAATTATAACAATAAAACATACTTAGTAAATCTATTTAAAATATCAGACTTGGGGCCATCAGGTGGTGTGGTAGTTAAGGTGCCGAATTCCCACATGACCAATCGCAGTTCGAGTCCCGGACTTGGCAGCTTGAAACTCACGCTGGGTATGTGTGCTGACATACCCAGAATCCCAGAGAAGAAGAATTTGCACCGTGGCCATCCCCCCAGGGGAGGGGGCGTGATTTCTCACCTTCCTTCTCTCTGTATCTCTCCAGCCAGCACATATGCCCTACGGTAAAAATCTAAAAATAAAATATCAGACTGATAAATATTATAGCTCTTCTTCACTTTGAAAAATACAGATACAGCCTAATGAAAAGCTGTTATTTTAACTTGCTTGCTCATAGCTTCTAATAAACCCGTAGGAAAAGTAAAATGTCGAATTGTCCAGCAGGCTTCACTCTATCATAGTCCTTTGAAAATGTTCTTACGTATAGAGCAGTGGAAATATTTTAATGATATGCTAATGAAATTTGAATATCTGGGCATTTCGTAGTAGCTGTTCATAAATGGGCAGAAAGATGGTATTTTAAGAGAAATGTTAAATATTCTGGGATATGTCTACTTCCTAAAAATGGTAGAAGTAATGGCGATTGAGCACGTCATGGAATGTAGGCATTTCCGGGCACACTCGAGTCATGAGGAGGGGTAGGAAGGAGTAGATCCATTCTCCGGACTAATCGATGGCCGTTTTCTCAAAAAAGTGGGGCCCAAGAGACTCCAGAAAGCTGAAGAACTGGTTGTCCTCCAAACACATGCACCCGCCCACACACACACACTTGTAGCACATCAGGTAAAATTTACGTTTTACAGGTCAGCTTGGAGTAAGTGTGGCCTTCCCGGCGTTCCCATGACGTTTGATGTCCGGATCTGGTTACCATGAAACAACCCATTTCTCACACTTACAGCTCTGGAAGGGACCTGACTTAAAATGCTTCTAGTTCACAAAGCACGCCTCTCCAGCCACGCCTGCCAGGCCCACCCATCCTCAGCCAGCTCAGAGCACGGGTGGAGGCCCGAGCACCAGGACATAGGGCCCTCCCTTGCTACCTCACCTGGGCCACAGCGCCCTGGCCCCCGGGGTGGGACCTCCGGAACGCAGTGCTGCCCCAGCCTCTGTCTCCTCACTCCTGAGGTGGAGGTGGCAAACCTCCTTGCTGTGGGTTAAATAAAAAACGGGTGAGGTCTGCGGGAAGCCCGCTGCGTTGTCAGCTGCCACGGTGTCTCAATGCCTGCTTGTGATCTTAGAGCTCGGCCCCCTGAGGTGAAGACCGAACCGGCCAAGAGTATGACCAAAGAGGAAGTCGTTGAAAAACTCAAAGCCTGTATACAGCAGCAGGACCCTGTGTTCAGAGGACACTTCCTGGGGGTCAGCAAGGACCCAGGAAGGAAAATTACTGTCCATGACTTTAAGAAGGTAAGAAAATGGGGACCAGCAGATGGTGTAATGGTTATGTCGCTGCACTCCCACGTGGCTGACTGCAGTTTGAGTCCTGGACCTGGTACTGTGAAACTCACGCTGGGTGCATGTGCACGCCTACCCCAAATCCCCAGAGGAGAATGGAAAAGAAGGGATTGTGGTGTCGCCTGGGGGGTGATTTCTCGCTTCTGTGTCTCTGGAAAGTACAGGGGCCCTACAGCAAAAATCTCTCCCCCCCAAAAAAAAGAAGGTAAGAAAATGAGGTTTTGGGACCAGCAGTTGGCTTAATGGCTATGTCGCTGGACTCCCATCATATAGTGGACCACGGTTCGAGTCCTGGACCCGGTGGCTTAAACTCATGCTGGATGCATGTACGTGCGTGCCCAAGATCCCAAGAGGAGAATGGAAGAGAAGGGATTACAGCGTGGCCATCCCTCCTCGGGGGGTGATTTCTTTTTTTTTTCTTTTTTTTTTTTTTTTTTTTTGTGTGGTCCTCCATCCTCCTCTCAGGATCTTGGGCACGCACACACACGCGCCCGGTGTGAGTTCTAAGCCACCGGGTCCGGGATGCGAACCGCGGTCGACTATGTGGGAATCCAGCGACATAGCCATTATGCTAACTGCTGGTTCCCGAGGTGATTTCTTGCTTTCTGTCTCTCTCTCGTCCTGGCAAGTGTACATGCCCTATAGCAAAAACCTCTCCGAAAAAAAGAAAATGAGGTCTCTGGGCCATGTTTCTCCTGAAGAAGTTTAGTGTCTTCGATGTAGTAACATACTTTAAAAGGTAGAAATTACATTTTCAGTATTGGTTTATTCCAGGACAAAGCATTCTGTTGGGTCATCAGAAAAATCATGATGTATTTTTCTTTCTTTTATTTTTCCTGTGCAAAAATGTGTCATGACTTTTCTAATGACCCAATATTTGTAGGCATTTTTCAACAATTTCTAAGAATTCTTAGAGCCACAAAATGTCTTTCGCAAATTTCTTCAGCAAATATTCTCAGTATGGCTGTGGCTAGGTTTTTGATACTTAAACTTAAAACAAAACACCGTGGATGCATGGTTTGCTGCCTGTGAGGCCCCGGCCCTGTATGGAGTGGGCAGGGTGTGGGGGCAGGAGACGCACGGCTTGCAGCTATGCCAGCCCGGGTCTGCCAATGATGAGTTCCCGGGATGCCGTGCTAGCAGAGCGGTGGTTTATCCCTCTAGAAAGTTAAAAAGAAAAAAAAAAGAAATAAAAGAAAAAGAAAGAGAAAAAACCCTGGCAGTGAAATATGGGAAATTGAGAGTGCTGATTTGCATGTGCTTATGGGAACTGGTGCGTTTCTGCCAGAAAGGCTCAGCTTGAAGGGTTTGCATAGACTTCTCAGGAATTAATTTAAATGATTGCTTAAAACCCATATTATGATCCCTCTAGCTAATCATCTTCAGCTTTTTAAGGAAAGCATTTCAATTAACATATACCAGCGTCCATGTGGACAAATTTAGAAGGGGATGAGATACAGCTCCAAGAAGAGAATCATTTTATTAGTGGCCACGATGTAGCCAGTGGCCACCCAGTGCCAGGCGCCGTGACAGGGTCTTTGCTCTTCTCTCTTCGAAGCCCCTGAAGAGCTGCAGCATGAAGGGTGGAGGGGAGGAGGGCAGGGCTGGGGCACAGAGAGGGGGTCACGTTGCTGCTCCCTTCCCCAGACAAAACCAGAAGCTGTCACTGGCCTGATGATGAACGTGAGCATAGAAGGACAGCAAGGAGAACGGAGCCACAAACACGTAGAACTAAGGGGCGGGGACTGGAAAGAGTCGAGGGTGTCCCCAGGTTTCTGGCCCGGGGGACCAGGTGGCCAGTAACAGTCACTGATGACTTGGACTAGAGCAGGCCCAGCAGAGTGGATGGTGGCTGTGGGGTCCAATGGCAGCAGGTTGAAAAGTGAGCGGGTGCTGGGTGTCTACCTCCCTCTGCCCTCCTTCCCCTCCCCTGTGGGACACTTTGTCCTAGGTTTCGTTTTACTCTGGTCACCTGGCACCGATCCTTGTCCCTAATACATCACAGTCTCGAACTCGGTCAGCCCCAGCAATCTTGTTCTCAGTCAGTTCCCAGGCTCACAGCCAACCACCGCTAGTCTGCCCGGATTTGTCTCCGCGGTGGCGAGCAGCATGCTTCCAGTCTTCCTTTCCCCTGTCCCCAGCTTCTCGGGGGCCTCCCTACTGTCTGAGATGTGCCCATGATAAGGGGAAAAGGAAAAGTAGAAACCAAGAAGGGACCATGTCCTAATCAGCTCGGGCGGCGGAATGAGGTGCCAGGGACTGGGCGGCTTACAAACCACAGGCGTTTACTTGGCGCAGTTCTGAGGCTGGAAGCATGGGATCCAGGTGCCAGCAGTTGGGGCTGGGGAGGGTCCTCCTCTGGGCTGCAGACTGACAGCTCATTGCATGCTCCCCTGACAGAGAGGGCCAGAGGGCTCTCTGAGGTCTCTCAAAAGGGCACTAATTCCATTCACATGGGGGGTTAGGATTTCCATGTAGGAATTTGGGGAAGATGCAAACATTCACTCCGTGAAAGACTGATATGCAGGATGAGGTTTTCTGTTGTTTAGCATGAAAATGAATGACCAATTTGCTGTGGACACGATTAGCCGAAGGGTGCATCAGTTTCCTTCCTAGTGCCTTGTTGGGTTTAACTTTTGGGAAACATTGCGAGGTGACATTCTTGAAGGTCGACAACTCGGGGGTGATTTTAAACAATCTACTGTAGGCCAGGGTTTGAACTTCATAATCTGTAAAGCAGTATGTAAATGCAAATCATCGCTGATAATTGTAGAGATTACCATAGATCAAGGGAACTCAGAGCTATCAAATTGTGGGTGACGCTATAGAAGATAGGGCTTGGGTCAGCCATCACGCGGGCCTCTAGGTGGCAAGAGTCTGGGCATGCTATCCTTTAGTAGCAGGGAAACCTTCGGGATAGCTGTCTCTGGAGATCGCGAAGAATAACTGACAGCAATAATTCTGAAACGGGGATAACAGCGATAACAGTGATTGTGATGGCGCGGACTGCTGCTGCTCGAAGACAACGACAATGACGAGGGCGGTGTTGAGGCAATGTCTCCAGGCCATCCATCACGCCCTCCACCTTTCGGGCACGTTACCTCTGCTCCTCCCAGCAGGCCTACGAGGCAGAGCTTACATTATAGCATGTCACAAGCCGAAGGCCAAAGCTCCAAGCCACTCCGGAACTTGGACTTAGGGACCCACGTGTGTCCGTATCAGCTCATATCAGGCCCTAGCTGGGCGAAGTCCAGGCGCTAGGTCTGTTAGGGGTAGTTGAGTGTAAACAGGCTTTCTGGGCGTAATGCCGCCTCCTGGTGTACTGCGGGCTTCGTGGGTGTCCTGTGTCCTTGTTGGGTACAAATGGTCTTCCTGAGTGTAATTCAGGCTGGTAGGGGAGTTGACAGCAGCTTGTTTCGAGGTTGCATCTGGCCTGTGGTTTGGGGAGGAGTGCGTTGATTTTAAGCAATGCCACTTAACTTCTTCCTGCCATTTTGCTCATGGATGGACAGTATTCTTGCCGCTGTCCTCCTCCACATTTGTGTAACAGCGGTTAACAGAATGGAACGGTTGCCAGGTTCCACCTTGGGGATCTGGGCATGAAGTGCCAAGTCCCAGGAGTCGATCTGCCTGGCATGCATCGTACGCCATTCGCCGTGCAGATGCTGGCAGTGCTTCGTCATTGGTCTGTCCCTCCTACCCCACATTAAAATAGTACAAATTATGGATTCTTACCAGCCAGGGCAGATGGCGACTCAGGGAGAGCAGCAAGAACAGAATCACTAGCCCAGTGAGTACCTGTGTTGTCCCACTGAGGACATGGCCACACGGCTCCTCTGCCACCGTCAGGAAGCGTTTGTCCGCTCTACACACGGTGTCTATGGGCCACTAAGTTGCCTCTCCCCGTTTTTGTCCATCTAGTGTAAGGCAGAGCAGAGCTTCTGCAAGTGGATTTCTCTTGTGGTGGAGTCTAGGTGCTGCTGGTACAGGGCCCACGAGCAGCAGCCTCAGAGACTCAAGTCGCCTTTACCTTTGCACAAGTCCAGGTTCATCTTCATGCATGTTGGAGAGCTGCCGGAGCACCAGCCGTCACACTCATTTCAGACGGAAACAAGGGGAAGGCTAAAGGGCAAAAGACAAGCCAGTCAAGTGTTTCTTTCCTTAATTTTCTTTTTTTTGTGTGTGTGTGTGTGAGATTTTTGCTATAGGGTGCAGGTGTTTGCTGAAGAGACAGAGAGAGACAGGGAGGCAGAAAGCAAGAAATCACCCCCCCCCCGGGGGGGGAGTGGCCACGC